TCTTTTTGAGTCGGAAGGGCGGGTCAGGCCGGGGCAGTCGAGCTCCGACGAGGACCGAAGCCGACGCGCTGCGGCTTGCAGAAGCGCACGACTGGAAGGACGCCTCCTCTTGCGCACCGTGGCCGCGGGATGTAGAAAGGAAGTTGCACTGGCCGTAGCAGAAGCGGTTGAGGACCGTGCGGCTGCGGCAGCCCTCCTCGCCCAACGTCTGCCGCAGCGGCTGCGTCTTGCACCAGTCGCTCTCAGGTACTTGCGCTCCGTGACCACCAGCGCCTCCTGGCTGGACGCCAGCACCTCCTTGACCTGGTGCTGCCAGCGCTCCGAGTGGTTGTTGCTGCTGCCGCCGCCGCCGCCGCCGCCACCACCACCGCCGTCCTTGTAGGGCGAGGGGATGGCGCCCGCCGGCCGGTTCCTCCTGCCATCGGCCGCCCTCGCCAGCGCGGCCGCCAGGATCACGGAGAGCCAAAGCTTCCAGAACATCCCTGCAGGGAGAGAAGCACCAGAGAACGAGAGAGAGAGAGAGAAAGAGAGAGAGAGAGAGAGAGAGAGAGAGACATCAATGATGAGAGGGAATCATGGATCAGCTGCCTCCTGCACGCCCCACACTGGGGATGGAGCCCAGGACCTGGGCCTGTGCCCTGACCGGATTCGAACCCTGACCTCCTGGTTCCTAGGTAGATGCTCAACCATTGAGACACGCTCAATGGTTATATTGTCATTGATCCCTCAAGGGTCAGCAACACCCCTCAATAGAGATGATTCTTTTCTCCCTTTACACCTTCACCCTTGTCATCGTCATCACCATCATGTTTACATGTAGTCATTCCCTCTCCGTGTATGTTACCACTCAGTGAACTGCATGGGATTCTTTAACATGGACACTCCAGGATGGCATGTGAATATTACATATAGAAAGCATTATATAGTTATAGAGTGTGTATGAATTATACTATGTACACATAGCAGGCATACACATAGAGAATGACTAACATTTAATATTAAGTATATTAAGCTTCCTGCATTATTACCGATGGCGTCAATAGATTCGTGTTAGCGATAACAGTTAATACGGATCGGTGCTCGAGATCCGTCAGGTTCCTTGCGTGTCTAAACATAATTATCAGTGTTCCAGGGCAGTGGTTCTCAACCTTGGCTGCACATTAGAATCACCTGGGAATCTTTTTAAAATCCTGGTTTCTGGGCCTCATCTCAGGTGATTCTAATGTGCAGCCAAGGTTGAGAACCACTGTTCTAGGCGTAGGTATTATCATCTTCTTTATTTTATAGCGGAGGGACCGGAGGCACTGAGAGGCCGAATCACTGTCGAAGATCACATCGCCTGTATATTTCAGTCCAGGCCTCTTGGCTCCAGGTGCCTCTAGTTGCCTCTCTGTTCAAAATAATCGTCCTTGTGTGGAACCTAATGAACAACATAAACTGATGAACAAAATAGATCCAAAGACAGAGAAGGATGGGACAGACTATCAAATCCCAGAGGAATGGTGGGGGAGGGTGGGTGGGCGGGAAGAGATCAACCAAAGACCTTGTAGGCACATATGCGTCACCCTTGGACACAGACAATAGGGGGGTGAAGGCCTGGGGTGAGGGGTGGCAGTGGGCTGGAATTCAATGGTGAAAAAGGGGGACATATGTAATACTTTCAATAATAAAGATTAAAAAAATAATTATCTGAAAATATCTAAGCTAGAGCGATCGCTTGATAGATGATCAACAGCTAGGAACTTCCGGTTATAAGATAACTAAGTCAAGGGGATGCAACGTGCAGGATAAAGACATCTAAGCTCGGTGTCACTGTTATTAGTCTAAGACACAAGAGGCTTCTGCATGTCACCAGCCGGGGATGCCTTCACCGAGAATTTGTTGAGTGTTTAATCTAGAGCAAGCGCTGTGATAAGCCGCGTAAATTCCAGTAACGCCCTCAGAGTCAAAGTGTTTCCAGGGGCAGATGAGCCCTTACAGGAGCTGCCCTCCCATCCTTATCTCACGGGGCCTCACCGACTCCTCCTCTTTGCTCACCCTACCTTTCTTTCATTCTTTCCTTTTTTAAAAAAATATTTTTATTGATTTCAGAGAGGAAGGGAGAGGGAGAGAGAGAGAGAGAAACATCAATGATTTGAGAGAATCATGGATTGGCTGCCTCCTGCATACTCCCCCACCCCCGCTAGGGATTGAGCCCACAACCCGGGCATGTGCCCTTGGCCGGAATCGAACCTGGGATCCTTTAGTCTGCAGGCCGACGCTCTATCCACTGAGCCAAACCAGCAAGGGCTCACTCTACCTTTCTGTTCTAGAGTGAACTCAGCATTCTCCTGCTCTAGAGCCTTCTGCTGCCTCCCCCTCCCAGGGTTGTATGGCCCAGGGGACAGTGGGGGGGGCGGGGGAACAGAGAGAGAGCATCAGTTCTTCCTGGAGGGGGAGCAGGAGATGTCTACAAAGCATCTCTTAAAGTCCGAGTAGGATTCCTCCAGGTGTTGGCATTGCCGGAAGTGCAAGAGTTAGGACCTAGAGTTAACTGTTAGGTAAATGGAGGTGACATGGGAAGGGAAGTCAAACCATGGAGGGCAGAAGGGGAAAACAGAGCAGCTTTTCTCTTCTTGTCCAACGCAATTATTGCAATTTTAAGGCCCAGTTTTTCCAGGGCCGTTCTCCTGCCTGCTTAGTTCCACACATGAAGGGTCACGTGACCATGGCCACGCTCCCAGCAGGCTCATGGCAAGCATCGGGGATTGGACCCGCCCGGCCTACATAGCTTATTATGTTTGCAGAATGATTTGTGATCTCAACAGTCTCTTAAAAAGAAAGTACGCTGGTTCCATCTGAGCAATTTCCGACATTATTAACGTGCTGCGTAAACACAACCCCAAGTGGGCAAGTGCCCGCCAGGAAAGACTGACAGGGTCGGCCTGCTGCTCGGCTCCTGGTTCCAGCAACAGCTTCACAGGAGGCTGGGATGGGCTCAGAAATGCCTGCTTTCGCCCGGCAGGTCCGAGGTGCTGTCAGGGAGAACAGGGCTAACGCGTGTTCAGATCAAAGAGTCTTGGAGTCAAGAGGATTCGATGTGGGATTGACAGCAAGCATTCTCTGGAGGGTTCACCAGTTTCCAAACATCTGGCGATCACCTTAGAAGTCACGCCCCACAAGGGTCTAAGAGGGAAAGCACACTGCCCATCTTCAGGACCTGGAAGGGGGCGATGGAAGCTAGATGAGGGGGATCAAAGGAGGCTCTTCTGTATTTCCTACCCCACATCTTTATTAAAAAATATTTTCATTGATTTCAGAGAGGAAGGGAGAGATGTAATAGACCCGATGGACTCACCACCCAGATGAAAATAATATTAGCATTTCCTGTCTTCCTTTTCCAATCTCCTATTTCTTAAGAATATATTTGTATTGATTTCAGAGAGGAAGGGCAAGGGAGAGTGAGATAGAAACATCAGTGATGAGAGAGAATCATGGATCGGCTGCCTCCTGCACGCCCCCTACTGGGGATCGAGCCCGCAACCCGGGCATGTGCCCTGACCGGGAATCGAATCGTGACCTCCTGGTTCATAGGAGGTCAAGCCTCTTAGGTTGAGGCTCAACCATGGAGCCACACCGGCCAGGCAATTTCTTCATAGCGTCTTCTACAAACCATGGAGCAGGAAGTTGATTGGTCCAAGACAATGGTTATTCTATTCTCCTTGCAAATGGCTGATTGAGACACGGGCAAGGATGCCCTGGGCCCATATGATGTGAGGAACAGACTCCTGGGAAAGAGACGTGCCAGGAAAAATGATTGTTCTGGTTTTGGGTTGAGGTTTTGCAAGGATCTGATGACTAATTAGAGGGACGTCCAATCTTTGCAGCAGAGAGCACACAACGGAAAGCTTGGTTGTTTTGGTAAGACATTGAATTAACCATATACTAAAGAAATGCCTTCACAGAAACAGAACGTAATAAAAATGTGGCTTTTAATAGCAACCAATGTCTCCATTTAAAAAAAAAATTCCAGACTTACTAGTGTGAACAATCACATAGCGATCATCATAAAAAGTTATTTTGGGTGACATATCAGTCGACAGTTTCATGAGAGCCTCCGTCCATTTTGATTTAAAGCAAATTATTGGAAACAATCTAACTTGAAAAAGGACTTATTTATGAGTCATTTACTTTCCAGTGAGAACACCAGGATTTAGAATGGTCCTTTTGTGTGGTGCCCGGGAGCCTTTACTCTACCCCAGGCAATACACACAGTAAGAGTAGGATGGATGGGAGGATCCCTTCTCCTGTCAAGAGGAAGAAGGGAGCCCTAGCCAGTTTGGCTCAGTGGGTAGAGCGTCGGCCTACGGACTGAAGGGTCCCTGGTTCGATTCCGGCCAAGGGCACATACCTGGGTTGTGGGCTCGATCCCCAGTAGGGGGCGTGCAGGAGGCAGCCGATCCATGATTCTCTCTCATCATTGATGTTTCTATCTCTCCCTCCCTCTTCCTTCCTCTCTGAAGTCAATAAAGAAATATTTTTTTTTTAAAAAAGAGGAAGAAGGGAATACTGAAAGTGTCAGGAAACAAGACCTGCCTGTCCCCTTGTAGACACCTTCTCAGGCAGATCTCTTAGAAGAAAAGGAACAGCCCAGCTGGTGTGGCTCAGTGGTTGAGCGTCAACCTATGAATCAGGAGGTCATGGTTCAATTCCTAGTCAGGGATTGCAGGAGGAAGCCAATCAATGATACTATTTCATCATTGATGTTTCTCTCTCTCTCTCCTTCTCCCTTCCTCTCTGAAATCAATAAAAAATATATATATTTTTTTTGAAAAATTAAAGAAAGAAGAAAAGGAACAAGTGGAAGCTGAGGATTTGATTATCGATGCCTCTGAACCTGGCTAGGGCAACCTTGAATTCTTTTATGCCTGAAATTTTATGACCATGAGTAAACCTTATGAAGAAACACCCCAGGCTTTCTTTCTCTCCTATCCACACCCTCGTGTCTCTCAAATTCCACAGCCTTCCTCTCCTGACAGTTTTTGAGAGCACTCTGCTGGCTCAGGGGCCCTCGGAGATCCGGGAAGCCCCGTGTTGAGTAATGTAATTGAGACAAGAAGTCTGGTTCCACTGGTGTTAAGTCCGATGTCAAGTTCGCTCCTATCAACAACTGAGGCTGAATTCAGACAAATTAGAGGGCAAACTCAAGGCTCTTGACCAAACCAAACAAACATAACCAGAGACAACCAAGGGACTTAGAACACGCCAATGGACATGGAATCATGGAAAACGCTTTTTAAAAAGTGTTGAAAACCATTATTAAAAATGAACACCAATACACACAACAGTCTCCATTTCTGGGCCCATAACAGGCAGCACTTTTACTAATAATGAATGTGAGCATTAACCGATGGATTCATTAATTCTGCATGTTCCATGCACTTTCCTGGGGATTGGGATGCACAGGTGAGTCAGACATCGGCTTGGTGCCAGGAATGAGATA